ATATTCATTGTTTTGAGAATTGCTTGAACTACAGCATTTTCGTAACTTTGATATCTTTATTGAATCTTCGTAGCTTTGATATCTTTATTGAGTCAAAAATTGCTACAATTTTTGGAGTTTATTGTGCATCTTAAAAAGCCACTAGCTTAACAAACTAGAAGTATTTTCTAGATCTGATATACATATAAACGATTGAGAGAGTGACAATCTTTCCTTGTCACAGATTTGAATAGCTGATTCAATTGAGTCTATTAAGGTACTGTTAGGTAGCATTCAGCGTAAAGTTACAAGTGATAATTTCGCTAAACGGTTATTTGTTTTTTGTTTAGAAACAGAATACTATAAAAGATCCTCTAAAGAGACGCTGAAAAAATTAATAAATTGAAATTTACAAGTTTCTTCAAAAAAAATTTGCATCAGCATTAGGCTGAAATTTGACTATAAAAGGTGCAAACTTTTGGATATCATAATTCTTATGACATTTAGTCATTACCGGCTTTCTGTATTTATTCAACTAAAGATTTGGAAGATTTACAATTACGATAACCAGCAGTTTTGGTTTACTTATAGAATTTTATTTTCCAAAACTCTTGCACTTCAAAAAAAGTACGCCAAATGAGTTGCTTAAGACATCATATTTATTATCGGTAAGACATGTGAAACAAAACCATTTTTGAGGTAGTGTAAAGTAAAGTAAAAAGCATTGTTTTTGGTTAATTAAAAGATATTTGTGAAATTTCAAGCAAAGGCTGTGTAAGGTAAGGCTTAATTTGTTAACTATGGCTAAATAAGGCACATAGGCATTCCTGAAATTGCTAATTATTAAAGATGCTTTGATAAAGCTTTCCGAATATTCAATTAACTTTGTTGAACGAGTTGAAAAAAAATTCTTGTCAGTTGTTATTAATTATAGAGTCTTCTAGAATAACAGTTACAGAAACTATTAAAAAGTGAAATTTAAAAGAGGCAAAAAGATTAGGACGTTGAATAACTGCAACACTTGTCCCCTCTTCGCTATTGCTGTTTGCCGTTGACGCTCAATTGGTGATCAACACATTTGTACTTTTATAAATATCAATAAATCAAGCTGCTGCTAATCTTTACAGTATTTAAAGTAAATATTGTTTAATACTTATTAATT